TAGTATGACTTATGGCTATATCATGTTGAAACACCGGTTCTTATACACCAAAGTTAAGCAATGCGAATCTGGTCAATACCTAGATGGGTGACCGATTAGGAATACCAGGTGCTGTAAGCTTGGATGTGCAGGTAGTATGACTTATGGCTATATCATGTTGAAACACCGGTTCTTATACGATCACCAAAGTTAAGCAATGCCGAATCTGGTCAATACCTAGATGGGTGACTGATTGGGAATACCAGGTATGCTAAGCTTGGATGTGCAGGTAGTATGACTTATGGCTATATCATGTTGAAACACCGGTTCTTATACGATCACCAAAGTTAAGCAATGCGAATCTGGTCAATACCTAGATGGGTGACTGATTGGGAATACCAGGTGCTGTAAGCTTGGATGTGCAGGTAGTGACTGATGGCTATATCATGTTGAAACACCGTTCTTATAATGATCACCAAAGTGAATGCCGAATCTGGTCAATACCTAGATGGGTGAGTGATTAGGAATACCAGGTGCTGTAAGCTTGGATGTGCAGGTAGTATGACTTATGGCTATATCATGTTGAAACACCGGTTCTTATCGATCACCAAAGTTAAGCAATGCGAATCTGGTCAATACCTAGATGGGTGACCGATTAGGAATACCAGGTGCTGTAAGCTTGGATGTGTAGGTAGTATGACTTATGGCTATATCATGTTGAAACACCGGTTCTTATACGATCACCAAAGTTAAGCAATGCCGAATCTGGTCAATACCTAGATGGGTGAGTGATTGGGAATACCAGGTGCTGTAAGCTTGGATGTGCAGGTAGTATGACTTATGGCTATATCATGTTGAAACACCGGTTCTTATACGATCACCAAAGTTAAGCAATGCCGAATCTGGTCAATACCTAGATGGGTGACTGATTGGGAATACCAGGTGCTGTAAGCTTGGATGTGCAGGTAGTATGACTTATGGCTATATCATGTTGAAACACGGTTCTTATACGATCACCAAAGTTAAGCAATGCCGAATCTGGTCAATACCTAGATGGGTGAGTGATTGGGAATACCAGGTGCTTAAGCTTGGATGTGCAGGTAGTATGACTTATGGCTATATCATGTTGAAACACAAAGTTAAGCAATGCGAATCTGGTCAATACCTAGATGGGTGAGTGATTAGAATACCAGGTGCTGTAAGCTTGGATGTGTAGGTAGTATGACTTATGGCTATATCATGTTGAAACACCGGTTCTTATACGATCACCAAAGTTAAGCAATGCCGAATCTGGTCAATACCTAGATGGGTGAGTGATTGGGAATACCAGGTGCTGTAAGCTTGGATGTGCAGGTAGTATGACTTATGGCTATATCATGTTGAAACACCGGTTCTTATACGATCACCAAAGTTAAGCAATGCGAATCTGGTCAATACCTAGATGGGTGAGTGATTGGGAATACCAGGTGCTGTAAGCTTGGATGTGCAGGTAGTATGACTTATGGCTATATCATGTTGAAACACTGGTTCTTATACGATCACCAAAGTTAAGCAATGCCGAATCTGGTCAATACCTAGATGGGTGAGTGATTGGGAATACCAGGTGCTGTAAGCTTGGATGTGCAGGTAGTATGACTTATGGCTATATCATGTTGAAACACCGGTTCTTATAACATCACCAAAAGTTAAGCAATGCCGAATCTGGTCAATACCTAGATGGGTGACTGATTGGGAATACCAGGTGCTGTAAGCTTGGATGTGCAGGTAGTATGACTTATGGCTATATCATGTTGAAACACTGGTTCTTATACGATCACCAAAGTTAAGCAATGCGAATCTGGTCAATACCTAGATGGGTGACTGATTGGAATACCAGGTGCTGTAAGCTTGGATGTGCAGGTAGTATGACTTATGACTATATCATGTTGAAACACCGGTTCTTATACGATCACCAAAGTTAAGCAATGCCGAATCTGGTCAATACCTAGATGGGTGACTGATTGGGAATACCAGGTGCTGTAAGCTTGGATGTGTAGGTAGTATGACTTATGGCTATATCATGTTGAAACACCGGTTCTTATACGATCACCAAAGTTAAGCAATGCCGAATCTGGTCAATACCTAGATGGGTGACTGATTGGGAATACCAGGTGCTGTAAGCTTGATGTGCAGGTAGTATGACTTATGACTATATCATGTTGAAACACCGGTTCTTATACGATCACCAAAAGTTAAGCAATGCGAATCTGGTCAATACCTAGATGGGTGAGTGATTGGGAATACCAGGTGCTGTAAGCTTGGATGTGCAGGTAGTATGACTTATGACTATATCATGTTGAAACACCGGTTCTTATACGATCACCAAAGTTAAGCAATGCCGAATCTGGTCAATACCTAGATGGGTGACTGATTGGGAATACCAGGTGCTGTAAGCTTGGATGTGCAGGTAGTATGACTTATGGCTATATCATGTTGAAACACTGGTTCTTATAATGCATCACCAAAGTTAAGCAATGCCGAATCTGGTCAATACCTAGATGGGTGACCGATTAGGAATACCAGGTGCTGTAAGCTTGGATGTGTAGGTAGTATGACTTATGGCTATATCATGTTGAAACACCGGTTCTTATACGATCACCAAAGTTAAGCAATGCCGAATCTGGTCAATACCTAGATGGGTGACTGATTGGGAATACCAGGTATGTAAGCTTGGATGTGCAGGTAGTATGACTTATGGCTATATCATGTTGAAACACTGGTTCTTATACGATCACCAAAGTTAAGCAATGCCGAATCTGGTCAATACCTAGATGGGTGACCGATTAGGAATACCAGGTGCTGTAAGCTTGGATGTGTAGGTAGTATGACTTATGGCTATATCATGTTGAAACACCAGGTGCTGTAAAGCTGGGATGTGTTCTTATATTATATCACCAAAGTTAAGCAATGCAATGAATCTGGTCAATACCTAGATGGGTGACTGATTGGGAATACCAGGTGCTGTAAGCTTGGATGTGCAGGTAGTATGACTTATGGCTATATCATGTTGAAACACTGGTTCTTATACGATCACCAAAGTTAAGCAATGCAGATGGGTGACCGATTATTACTTGGGTAGTATGACTTATGGCTAATCACACATAATGTTAAGCAATGCTGTAAGTTCTGACTGATTGGGGAATACCAGGTATGAAGCATGCAGGTAGTATGAAAAACACCGGTTCTTATACGATCACCAAAGTTAAGCAATGCGAATCTGGTCAATACCTAGATGGGTGACTGATTGGGAATACCAGGTGCTGTAAGCTTGGATGTGCAGGTAGTATGACTTATGGCTATATCATGTTGAAACACTGGTTCTTATACGATCACCAAAGTTAAGCAATGCCGAATCTGGTCAATACCTAGATGGGTGACCGATTAGGAATACCAGGTGCTGTAAGCTTGGATGTGTAGGTAGTATGACTTATGGCTATATCATGTTGAAACACCGGTTCTTATACGATCACCAAAGTTAAGCAATGCCGAATCTGGTCAATACCTAGATGGGTGACTGATTGGGAATACCAGGTATGTAAGCTTGGATGTGCAGGTAGTATGACTTATGGCTATATCATGTTGAAACACTGGTTCTTATAATGATCACCAAAGTTAAGCAATGCCGAATCTGGTCAATGCCTAGATGGGTGACCTGGTACCATGCCTAGATGGGTGACTGATTATGGAATACCAGGTTGAAACTTCTTATACTGTCAAAAGCTTGGAGATGGGTGACTGATTGGGGGAATAGGTATGTAAGCTATGTATGGCTATATCATGTTGAAACACTGGTTCTTATCTATCACCAAAGTTAAGCAATGCCGAATCTGGTCAATACCTAGATGGGTGACCGGGTGCTGTAAGCTTGGATGTGTAGGTAGTATGACTTATGGCTATATCATGTTGAAACACCGGTTCTTATAGATCACCAAAGTTAAGCAATGCGAATCTGGTCAATACCTAGATGGGTGAGTGATTGGGAATACCAGGTGCTGTAAGCTTGATGTGCAGGTAGTATGACTTATGGCTATATCATGTTGAAACACCGGTTCTTATACTTATCACCAAAGTTAAGCAATGCGAATTTGGTCAATACCTAGATGGGTGACTGATTGGGAATACCAGGTGCTGTAAGCTTGGATGTGCAGGTAGTATGACTTATGGCTATATCATGTTGAAACACTGGTTCTTATACGATCACCAAAGTTAAGCAATGCGAATCTGGTCAATACCTAGATGGGTGACCCCATTAGGAATACCAGGTGCTGTAAGCTTGGATGTGTAGGTAGTATGACTTATGGCTATATCATGTTGAAACACCGGTTCTTATAACGATCACCAAAGTTAAGCAATGCCGAATCTGGTCAATACCTAGATGGGTGACTGATTGGGAATACCAGGTATGTAAGCTTGGATGTGCAGGTAAAGGTGGCTTATATCATGTTGAAAACACTGGTTCTTATCGATCACCAAATTAATAATGCGAATCTGGTCAATACCTAGATGGGTGACCGATTAGGAATACCAGGTGCTGTAAGCTTGGATGTGTAGGTAGTATGACTTATGGCTATATCATGTTGAAACACCGGTTCTATAATCGATCACCAAAGTTAAGCAATGCCGAATCTGGTCAATACCTAGATGGGTGACTGATTGGGAATACCAGGTATGTAAGCTTGGATGTGCAGGTAGTATGACTTATGACTATATCATGTTGAAACACGGTTCTTATATGATCACCAAAGTTAAGCAATGCCGAATCTGGTCAATGCCTAGATGGGTGACTGATTGGGAATACCAGGTGCTGTAAGCTTGGATGTGCAGGTAGTATGACTTATGGCTATATCATGTTGAAACACCGGTTCTTATAAAGTGATCACCAAACCCCATTAAGAATACAATGCCAATCTGGTAAATACCTAGATGGGTGACTGATTGGGAATACCAGGTGCTGTAAGCTTGGATGTGTAGGTAGTATGACTTATGGCTATATCATGTTGAAACACCGGTTCTTATAATGATCACCAAAGTTAAGCAATGCCGAATCTGGTCAATACCTAGATGGGTGACCGATTAGGAATACCAGGTGCTGTAAGCTTGGATGTGTAGGTAGTATGACTTATGGCTATATCATGTTGAAACACTGGTTCTTATACGATCACCAAAGTTAAGCAATGCGAATCTGGTCAATACCTAGATGGGTGACCGATTAGGAATACCAGGTGCTGTAAGCTTGGATGTGTAGGTAGTATGACTTATGGCTATATCATGTTGAAACACCGGTTCTTATACGATCACCAAAGTTAAGCAATGCCGAATCTGGTCAATACCTAGATGGGTGACTGATTGGGAATACCAGGTATGTAAGCTTGGATGTGCAGGTAGTATGACTTATGACTATATCATGTTGAAACACCGGTTCTTATACGATCACCAAAGTTAAGCAATGCCGGATCTGGTCAATACCTAGATGGGTGACTGATTGGGAATACCAGGTGCTGTAAGCTTGGATGTGCAGGTAGTATGACTTATGGCTATATCATGTTGAAACACTGGTTCTTATATGATCACCAAAGTTAAGCAATGCCGAATCTGGTAAATACCTAGATGGGTGACTGATTGGGAATACCAGGTGCTGTAAGCTTGGATGTGCAGGTAGTATGACTTATGGCTATATCATGTTGAAACACCGGTTCTTATAAGATCACCAAAGTTAAGCAATGCCAAATCTGGTCAATACCTAGATGGGTGGCCGATTGGGAATACCAGGTGCTGTAAGCTTAGATATGTGATGTGTATTACAGCCATATCACATTGATTTTTTTTGGTTGGTTTGTTTAGTGGCACATCAAATCCTTATGGGGTCATTTAATGCTGAAATTTAATTTTCTTGGGAGCTTATGTAATTTTCTTTTTTACTATAAAAATCCATTTCTGGTATTTTTACTATAAAAATGTATTTTTATATTTTTTTAGTTTTCTGACCCCAGTTGAGGGGGTGTTCACTATTTCTCCATAGCTGGGACCCTAATTGGTGCTACCACCTCGGATCAGGGTGGACCTAGAAACAACAGCAATTAAAAAGTGTTTCCAGGCTCTCCTCAAACCTCCTGATCAGAGGCCTTGCTGTTGGATGTAGTTTATCGTCATACACAGGATAAACTGAATAAAATGTGGTATCAAAATTTAGCTCTTATGACCATTAAAACAGACATATTTTATGGAAGTGAGAGGAATATGAATAAAGAAAGAATGAAGTAAGAAAATAAATTGTAACTATGAATGGAAAATTAGTAAAAAAAAGAAAAAATGCTGACCAGTTTTTGTTCCTCTCTTCTCAGAACTTGATTGGAGAAAAAAAACAAATGCTCACCAAAAAATAAAAAGGAAAAATTTATAAATGGTAATATGAACAGACTGAGATAGATAGATAGATAGATTGTGATAGATAGATAGATAATGAGCAGATTGTAATAGATAGATAGATAGATAGATAGATAGATAATGAACAAATTGTGATAGATAGATAGATAGATAGATAGATAATGAACAAATTGTGATAGATAGATAGATAGATAGTTAATGAACAGATTGTAATAGATAGATAGATAGATAGATAGATAGATAGATAGATAGATAATGAACAAATTGTGATAGATAGATAGATAGATAGATAGATAGATAGATAGATAGATAGATAGATAGATAGATAGATAGATAGATAGATAATGAACAGATTTTGAGGAAATATTTAGCATTTATTGACCAAGCAGCCAGTGTTACTTAAGTTGCTTGTTTCTTAATTCCTTGGCTATTAGGCTGGGATCAAAGTGTAGCATCAGCCTTTTGACAGGAAAAAAACTATATTTCATCTCTTCTTTGAACAAAGTACAACTCAGTCGTGTCTGTCTTCAGGCAGAGCACAACTGAAAAAATACAGAGAGGTGCTCAGTTCAGGAAAACAACTGCTTGTAGCAGTACCTCTTTCATTGCACTAAAGAGGGGTGATAGTAATACCAATGTCATTGTGACCAGCAGTTGTGGGGTTTGGGTTATATATGAACCTGGCCCAGGTGCATGTGCTTGGGTACCCCACATTAAACTGACCTTCTATTACATCCTGCTAGCATGGGGTGGTAAGTAAATATTGGTTGGTGCATAATTATCAGGCGTTTTTTATTATGGAAAAAGAAACATAACAATTGAGCAATAACATTTTTAAATGATTATTCTGGAGCATATGATTATCAATAGGCATTTTTATAATCTGAAAATGATTAAAAAGAGTAAACAAAGCAGTTTTTTATTAACAAATAACTAGCATACAAAAACGCCTGATAATTATGCACCAACTGAATCAATAGATATTAATAAACTGATAGATAGATAGGTAGATAGATATGAATAGATTGAATGCATATATAATATAGTATATTTGTAGATATACAAAGACTAAGCAGTTGGCTAGATATTGGGTTGGTGTATAATTATCAGGCGTTTTTTAAACAATATTTATTATGGAAAAAGAAACATAACAATTCAACAATAACATTTTTAAATGATTATTCTGGAGCATATGATTATCGACACGCATTTTTATAACTTGAAAAAAATATTATTAAAAATAAGTAAACAAAACAGCAATTTTAATTAACAAATAACACCCACAAAAACGCCTGATAATTATGCACCAACCCAATACAAAGTAGTATCTGTTCTCTCTAATGCTAATATTAGCCATTTTCTTATATAGAAGCAATTGGCATGCTTTTGTCACTCCTGGGCCTTTCCCCTTGTGTTCCTTAATAAAAAGTAAGCTTCGATCAGACAACGTCTTCCCAGAACTTTAACTTTTTGACACAGACTTCGAAGTTGATGATTCCCTGATAACTACAGTTTTAGTCTTGGGTTAACTGATATCTAAACTACACATCCTTATAACATGTACTTCTTAATCCTTCCCTCTCCTTTCCTCATTAACCTTCTACCTTGAGTGGCTCTTGGGCCTTGTTTTGGATGAACTAATAGTGCAAAAAGTATACATTATCATAAGTAGATAGAAATAATTAGGAGGATTTGAGATAATCGTAATTAAGCAATTCATTGAGTCTGAAAGAAACCTCAACTGAATGCAAAAAGCACTGGACGGCTGTTTCATCCTATATTTGGGACTCATCAGCAGTGTGCATCCACTACTGAGAATTGAAACCTGGACAGTTATGTTATCAGGCAAATGTCATACCAACTGTTCTAATGGGCCTCGGTGACAAAGAGGTAACGAATTAGACTCGATAGAGCACCACTCGATCACATATTCCGTGATGGAACTCATCTGAGTTTCCCTTACCCATAGGACTGTGCCTCCATGAGCTACAACTACTATCCCCAACTCACTAGAGTCCAGAGATTTAGAAATTGGTTCAAGCAAGGATATACAGATAGAAATAATTAGGAGGATTTGAAATAACCATAATTAATTCATTGAGTCTAGAAGAAACCTCAATAGAATGCAGAAAACACTGAACGGCCGTTTCGTCCTATATTTGGTACTCATCAGCAGTGTGCATCAACTACCAAGAACTGAATTAGAATTCATTACCTCTTCATCACTGTGTCCTGTTGGTATGGTGTCTGCCTCCTATTGTAACTTTTCGAGTTTCAATTCTCGGTAGTGGATGCACACTGCTGATGAGTTTGAGTCCAAAATATAGGATGAAATGGCTGTCCAGTGCTTTCTGCATTCTATTGAGGTTTTTCTAGACTCGATGAATTAATTATGATTATCATAAGTGTTGTATAGGAATAAAGTGTCATTGCTGACATTCTATTTTGAACACAGATCACTAGTAAGCAAACACGAATGATTCCATTATTAAATAAGTAGATCATGTGATCAAAAAGGAAACGTATAAATGGGAATTAGTGTGACGTCTAAGTGATCGCTATTCTCTATACTATCCAATATACTATATCTTTATACTGATCATTATATGAATTACTATTCAGAAGTTACTATTAGAACAAGTATTATCAGTGTGAGTATTAATGAAGGCATTAGTACTACCAGTATCTGCGTTTACAAAAACACGTCTACAACGAGCATTTTGGAAGTGATAATGAACATCACAAAAATAAGTAAATCACATTGAAACGCAAAACTCTATTTACAGAGGAATGAAAGTCTTTTTTTTTTGTATTACAATAATGTTCATCCTGTACTAGACCCAAGAGTCACTCAAGGTAGAGGGTTATTGAGCACAGTTTATGAGGATATGTGGTGAAGATAATGGTTAACCTTGGACAAGTTAAGATTGTAGTGATCAGAAAAGCATCCTCTTGCGAGTCGGTTCTGCAATGTAACTTAAAACTGAAAACACACCCTCATGATAGCATATAGCAGGGATCGGCAACCTTTTGCTAACTATCGGCACAGACTTAGGATTTTAAAATCATTCAGTGTGCCAACAGCATACGTATTTTTTCAGTGATCCTTTGCTTTAGATCAGTAATGCCTCATACTATAATCAACGTTCTACAATCTGAAATATGTTTCAGATTTAAATAACCCACAGGGGTTTCATAAACCATTATGTTAAAAATATGAATATAAGTTTCTACTGGACATACAGTGAAGGACCAATTTTCTATTGATATTAAGTAATAAACTGACCCTTTACTACACCTTGTCAGATTTTATTGAGTCACACCGGTTCCCGTTCAATCACCTAAGTTAAACAGTGTTGGGCCATGTCAGTACTTAGATGGGGGACAACTTGAGAACATCAGGTGTGATAAGCCATGGGTCAGCAGCCTTTTACTATGTGCTGACTTAGGGTTTTAAAATCATTCAGTGTACCAACAACATAGGTATCTCTATCTATAAAAAGCAGGATGTGTGTCTGTAATGAATGCACATCTGCAATTTTCAACGGATTTGCACCAAAATTTACATGCACAAGTTAGCGGGAAGGCCAAGGCCAACTTTGCATTTCCCAACTCCCATTGATAGTGGAAATAATCGATTTTTTCATGCTTTTACGGCAGTTTTCATGTAGTTTGTGGCCATTTTGTACTGGCCAGAGTGAGAGCCTATAGCTGGCTGCCACGAATAGGCAGAAAGATTCTATTGGTCAGCGTGAGAGCCAACAGCTGATTGACATGAATGTTAACTAGCATGCTAGCATGCAAAAAAATCGGTAACTGCATTCGTCACAAGTGGGAAAAATTTAAATCTGCATGGCACTTTACTTCAATTGGCTCATTCGCTTGCTTAAACTCAATGCTGATTCTGATTCCGCAGAATGGGGTTGGGCGTGAAAAAGTATTTGTTGTTAACATTCTTTTTTTCATCCGGTTTTTCCAGTTACGAGTCCTTTTTTAAAGCTGATCGTTTTGTGTTCATTTTGTTTATTTCTTTTTTCGTAACAGATTTAATGTTTTGTATAGAGCTTAGAAAAAATTTGCAGTGTGAGATAGGCAAGAAGTTAAGCATGTAGCAACATCAGCACGGCAAGGGCACTCCTTTAAAGGCAAGGAAGGGCAATAATATTTTAAGTGATAGCGATTGCTGTATGAGTCGTATGATTTTTGAATCAAGCACAGGCAACGCTAAGCCATGCTGCTAGTTTTTATACGTCAAAGTCAATATACCTGTTTTACAATATATTTTATATAGTAATATATACGATATATACTTTAGTATATATTAAAATTGAAACAGCTAAATGCTGTGTTAAGTTTTAGATCTTATTAATACATGACAAGCATAATCTTTAGTTATGCATATGAATCACATTAATAAAGTCAAAAAACTATAGCAATGATCAAGGTTAACCTGTATTAATGCTTAACAAAATATTCTGTCATTTATGATAAGTCCTTAATATTTATGGGATGGGGGATCAGATTATTACTTAATAGTTTTTTTGTCCAGTAGAACCTTATATTAATACTAGTTTACCTATATTGTCATAAATAACAGAATATTTTCTTAATTCTTTAATATTATTTGAAGGTTTTCATAACTCAGTCTTTCTATATATCTGTTTCAATTAAGAAGTAGTTTTTTATGGGATGGGGGATCAGTTTATTACTTGATAACAATTGAAAACTGATCCCCCATTTTATGTCCAGTAGAATCTTATATTAATACTAGTTTGCCTATGCTGTCATAAATAACAGAATATTTTGTTAAGTCATTAATATCATTTGAAGGTTTTCATAATTGAGTTTTTAAATATATTTGTTTCAATTATATGAACATGTAATGAATCTGAGGGATCAGTCTATTATTTAACAGCAATAGAAAACTGATCCCTCACTTTATGTCCAGTAGAATCTTATATTAAAGACTACTTTAGTCAGGCTGTCTGGCACAAGCCTGATGTAAATTTAAAAAAAAAATACTAAACCCCAGACTCAGTTAGGAAACGGACAAATATATTTGACATTCTTTGGATCAAAAAGTAAGTGGCCTGAACGAGAAAATGAGTTTCTAATGAAATTTGAACGATAGTAAGTCTTACTGGAAGAATGCCTCTAATTAGACTAAAAGAGTTCCAACAGAGGGTGTTATTCAAATTTAACATAACAGTAATATTCTTGTTATTTATTTAATTTTTCATTCTTTCTCTCTTAGTTACCCTTTGCATCATAGTGACTTTATCACCTAGTTTGGGAGTGAAGTGATATAAAAAAATCACATATACAGTGCTCCATATCCTGAGGATAGAGCCACCTAAAACACAAATGTTAAGTTTTTAGATCTTATTAAAACATGGCAAGTAAAATCTTTAGCTATGCATATTCATCACTATCCATCTATATTTCTGAGATGAGGTATTATGTACACTATTTACATTATTCGGACTATTGTCCTCATCTTTGTCGCCATATTTATTACAATGTTTCGGCCGTTGTATGCTCCAGCCTTCTTCAGGTGGTTGGAATGTTGAACTGAACATCTTTCTATATTTCTGAGTTGAGGTATTATGTTCACTATTTACATTATTTGGACTATTGTCCTCATCTTTGTTGCCATATTTATTATGTTTCGGCCATCTTCAGGCCTTCTTCAGGTGGTTGGAATGTCGAACTGAACCCTTTATTTTGCTCACTGGGGTAGACTGTCCTACATTCCAACCATCTAAAGAAAGCCAGATTGTACAACGGCCAAAATGTTGTAATAAATATGGCGACAAAGATGAGGGCAATAGTCCGAATAATGTAAATAGTGTACATACGCATCACGTTAATAAGATCTAAAAATTATAGCATATAAATCATAAAAGAAAATCAATCAATCAACTTGACAGAATTTGGCACGTAAAATGAATGTAGTTATACATTTTACATTAAAAGCATTTAAACTTATTTTGGGAGGATTTTCAGTGCCAAAAATGGATTCAGCACCTCCCCAAATATATAAGAATAGAAGTCTAGATCAAGGGTCGGCAACCTTTTGCTAACTATTTGCCAACTTAGGGTTTTAAAATCATTCAGTGTGTCAACAGCAGACGTATTTTTTATACAAGTCAAGGCCAATATACCTGTTCTACAATATATTTTATATAGTAATATTTAGTATATATACTTTAGTATATATTAAAATAGAAACAGCTAAATATCTTCTTTGCATTGTAGTATTTATTGGTTCGGACTTTGTGACGTCATTTGTGGCTGCATGCCATTGGAAATTGCTTGGCATGCTGTGTGTGGCACGCGTGCTGTAGGTTGCCGACCCCAGCAATAAGCCAATTCCTACAATACAAAATATGATTTGGTTTTAAATCACCTATAAAGGGTTGATAATCCATAAAAGAAATTCAATCAATCAACCCGACAGAAGATGGCACGTGAAATGAACATAGTTATACATTGCGTCAAGAGTCGACATTATTCGGAAACAGTCTTTGACGCAATATGGTTTTGAAATGACCGATTTCTTTCTTTTGGAAATTTCTTAGCATACCACGTGTGACATGTGTGCTGTAGGTTACCAATCACTGGCATATAGGATACTGATAGTTATCTCTGCAAATTATGAAATGGCTATACTAAAATTTTGTAACCATGGGAAAATATTTTAAAAAGTTTATTTATGATATTAAATCAGTCAAAAAAATTGGCCATGAATCACAAGATTCAAGTGACATGAAAGCACTTTGAAGATAAATTACTAATTATTTTGGTTTGTAATGTGATTCCATCGTTTGTCACGAGAAAAAAATAAACTGCCAAGAGGAATAACTAGCAAATATTCCACTGCACTAATAAATATACCTATTTTTGACATATAGCTAAGCAAGTCCGAGGCTTACAAATGAATTCTTTGTGTTTTTTTTTCTTATTTGCTTCTTTCCTTCTGCCTTTCTTTTATTTTCTGTTTTTCTTTTCCCCTCTCTCTCTATTTGTTTTTTCTACGCCCTCTTTTCCTGTTTGTAAATTTGTCTTTCATTTCTGTCTTGTCTTCCTTCCTTCTTCATATTTTTTGTTTCTCTTTGTCCGTCCTTTCATTCCCCACCCTGTTTCCTTACCTGTTTGCCATCTCTGCTTACCCTGCAGGCATTGACACTCGAGTTTTTCTTGTTTGTCTGTTATTTTTTATTCTTCCAGACTGTAAATGTTGCAACTCTGCCATTCAGTAGAAATGTGTGCACAGATAATGCTCATTGTTACTGAGTCAGTCTGCCTGCAGACTTTGTGCTATCAATTTGCATTCAATTGTTATGTGAGATTTTGCAATGTTATAGTGGAATGGCTCAGCAATGTTTACAATGGCAGACAAATTTGAAGCATGTGGAGAGAGTTTCATATGTCATCTGGTTCACATTCTTTCCCTGTTTTTTGAACAGGAGTAGAGGTTTATCCCTTGTTTCCTATTCTGGATTAGGTTTCTGGTTCCTATTTCTTTTACAGTAAGGTTCATTCTGTACAAGGTTCAGGGGCCACTCAAGGTAGAGGGTTACATTAAGGGGTAGTTTATATTTGTAGGAGGGGAAGATAACGGTTGACCCTAGACTTGAAAAGGTTAAGATTATAGTGATCGGGGAGGCATCCTCTTGGGGGTCTGTTCCACAAAGAGAGTAGAGAGCTACAGAGTAACAGGCACAGTTTATTCGGATAGGTGGGGAAGAGAACGGTTAACCCTAGATTTGAACAGGTTATAATTGTAATGATTGGGGAAGCATCCTCTTGGGAGTCAGTTCCATAAAGCAGGTACAGGGTTACAGAGTAAGAGACACAGTTTATGTGGATAGATGGGGAAGAGAACAGTTAGCACTAGACTTGAACAGGTTATAATTGTAATGATTGGGGAAGCATCCTCTTGGGAGTTGGTTCCATAAAGCAAGTAAAAGGTTACAGATTAAGAGACACAGTTTATGCGGATAGGTGGGGAAGATAATGATTAACCCTAGACTTGAATATATTAAGATTGTACTGATCGGGGAAGTATCCTCTTGGGAGTCAGTTCCCCAGGGTTTGTGGGAAGAATCTTTTTGAGTGGAACTTACTTCTTGCTGATGGAATACAGATGGAATGTGAGTGATTTGATACTCTGTAAGTAGCATAGCTTGTCCTGGCTGGGAAGGTTTGACCTGGTCGGACCAAGGAATGTAGTTCATTTGAGTACTCTCCATGCAAGTAACGATAGAGCAGTGAGAGGCTTGCCACACCCCATCTGTGAGAGTGCGGTTGGAGGGTGGAAAATAATTCTTCTCCAACAAGAACTCAGAGACGCTTTTAAACTCTATCAGGACTGGAAAGTGAGAACTGGGCAGCTCCTGCTCA